GCCGTAAAAGCTATCCCCGTAAAAGCTATCCCCGTAAAAGCTATCCCCGTAAAAGCTATCCCCGTAAAAGCTATCCCCGTAAAAGCTATCCCCGTAAAAGCTATCCCCGTAAAAGCTATCCCCGTAAAAGCTATCCCCGTAAAAGCTATCCCCGTAAAAGCTATCCCCGTAAAAGCTATCCCCGTAAAAGCTATCCCCGTAAAAGCTATCCCCGTAAAAGCTATCCCCGTAAAAGCTATCCCCGTAAAAGCTATCGCTGTAAAAGCTATCCCTGTAAGAGCTATCCCCGTAAAAGCTATCGCCCTCTCACTAAGGCGCAGTTTACTGATGCATCAGTCAATTCTTCCGGCGAGGGCCAGAATGCTTTTAAATTATTTACCGGTTATGCGTTGGCTCCCCGCAGGAGCTAAAAGTCATAAACAGAAGTTTAAGACCAAAGATTATTTTCGGAACCTTGATGAACTTAGTGCTGGATAAGATAAGCTAAGAACGTTAAGTGGCTAGTTGAAAGTTGAACAACATTGAAAGACGACCGAACGAGAAAGGATGTAGTTATGTTCCGTTAAGAATATAGGGAGCGTAACCGGGTTGTTCTTTCTTATCTTTTCTTTAACAGATTTTAGATTACAGATATTATTTTAAATTATAGATGTACGCCTGAAAATGCAAAAATTGATGATTTGCCGTGTAGGCGTCCTTTTGGCGAAAACAGGCCAGCGGAACTGAAAGCTAATGGCTACTTTCCGGAACTGTACAAGGGCATCCATTTGTGCTAACGAGGTTAATTGTCAGGATTCAAGAAAGATGCTCTCAAGAGGTTGACCTTGCTTCCAACAGAGAAAAAACTTTTGCATCTTCTCATGAGATTAGAAACTCTCTTGGCGCGGGAACTGACAAGTTGTTTATCTCGGAGTTCTACTTCGTTACTCTGCTTCGCGCCCTCAAAGCCGGGAGCCTGTTCGCAGGCTATATTCACAAATGCTTGAGTTGCTGAAAACTGTTACATTGTCTTTACAAAGGGAATTATTCAAAAATATTGATTGAGTCGTCGTCCTAACGGCAGGATACAGACAAGTCACAGAAAGGGTAAAGAAATTCATAAGCAAATGCGTGGAGGTTCAATGCGAGGAAATCACTTGCACATAATTAATAAGTAATGATATAGTGTCCTCCGACGACGAAAATTTTTATTTCCAGGGTTTTCCAGATCTAAGAAGAGATATGTACACGCATTTCACTCATTAATGATTTCGCTGGTATTTAGGTGAGTCAGTTTCCGACATCGATTAAATGAAATGCAAATCAAAATTAATTAATAACCTTTTGTAATGTAAATTGTAGAGACTTTTAGTCCACTTGAGGGAAAACTTACACTGTCTGATAAATTGCTAATAAAGGTTTTGCATTTCGTAAAATTCATCTACATATGTTCATCGGTTAAAGAAGGCCTAGTTACTTGGTCGAAAGGAGAAATTTTGAACCTTCCACTGAAAAATTTCCGGGCTATGAGAACGACATGAGTAAAATAGACCAGTTAGTGACGTTTACTACTTTCAAGTAACATTTGTTTCTCTTACCCTGACATCAAGTTAATGGGTGTGATTTCTATATGTTTATAATTCGTTATTTCCATTTTACAGGCATGAGGACAGAGTTGGTTCTTTACGTCTCAGATCACTTTGTCGACCGGCGGGATTTACGATCATAACCCAGAGACTATTTCCGTCGACTAATGGCGCGTAGAACAAGGATTTATCGCCGAGCACTTTCTCGAATTTTTGCTGTCACCTTGCTTGTTATTCAAGGAGCGCTCCTAGATTATTACTTGATCGTCAAAGAGGAATCATCATGGTGGTTTGCTTGGATTGTAACAGATGTTATAGTTTTATCCACCTGGATGTTTACAATGAAACTATCGCAAAGGAACAGCCAAAAACTGCCTCAGTCTCTCTCCGAAGAAAACAAAGATGAGATTAAGTTGGCCTATCTCTCTTGGATAGTTTATTCGCTCCATTTAGTGCCAAAGGTAGCTACTCTGTTTGAGTTCAAAGCCTCGTTACTAGACGAGAAAATGATCTTTGGACCAAACACGCTGAAAATGAACCTTTGACTGACACCAATGTTATTTCTGTTTCTGATTTACGCGCATCACGATGCAAAATCACATTCGCGACGAAGATATTACCTGGAGAAAATGACAGCAGCTGTAACTCTTGATCTGTTTGACAGCGTGGAAATGCTGGAGTATCTTTTTGCTAAGGAAAAGATCCCAATCGAATTGGGACATGCCATCCTCGCTTTTTCTTGCATGAATATTTTCCTTCCAACCTTTGCCTTATTCGAGTTGAAGTTCAACAAGTTTCACGAAAGTGGAGAAACGTCTCCGATATCGTTTAAATTCATCTATGTGTGTAGTTTTATGTTTTTCGTCAACGTTCCTTTTTCGGTTTTAAGGCTGATATTGTGGCATGGGTATCACTTTGATGTATCGGTGTTGTTGGCCAAAAATGTTCTGGCGATTGTGATGGGAGTTATCGAAATTATGGAGTTCTTTGGTGAACAAAAACCGAGAAAGTGTCAACACTGCTCAAGGACTTTTGCCAAAGACTTTTTCAAACCACACCTTAAGATGTGTGGCACAATAAATGAAAATTTAAAAACGATCAAGCGAGATGAAATAGGAAATGAAATGATAAATTTAGAGCTGGACGGTCATTATTCTAAAACTAATCGCAGTAATTTTAATAAGACAGTACACAATTTTCAAGTCACTGAGAACATTTCGCCGATTAAAACCTATGTTTGACGCGTGCATTAAAAAAAGAAAAAAAAAAACACCATTAAACAGAAACCGTGTAAGAACATTTTGAAAAGGAAAAATCGAATACGTGTACATGTCACAGTTTCTCAAACTCCCGAGTTACCTTAGTTTATTTTAAAATGCAGAAGTCTGTACCTCCATGTTTTAAGTGAAGGATAAGTCAAAATAGTGCTTTACTGCGAAGGATCGTTCTCATATAAGTCAAAACAATCTCGCAAAATAAGAATGTTCGTAACCGATTTATTACAGTATTGACTTTAGGCAGTCTTTTTGTCATTTTCAATTTAAGCAAAGCGTGAGTAATCCAATTAAAATGATGAAGTAAAAACGACGAGAGGAAAGATAATTTCTTTTAAGAAAAAAACATTTTCAGTATTCTGAGGACACCTGCATTTTCTTTCATGAATATTCATAGTTACAGGGCCAATAACTTAGTGTTTTTGTTTAAAAAGAGAAGTTCCGATCTCTTCTTTCCTTACAATTAAGAGGAATTAAAATTGAAGGCATCTTTAACCTGGGAGTTCAAGTAGTCTAACTACATGGTAGGCATTCTGCGGTTTTCGTGATTTAATATGAAAGAAAGCTGGGCCGGGCTGAATGTATTATCAAGGTTGCCAAAATTAAACATGTTTGTTAAAAAAGAAAAAAAAACTGTGAAGATTGGCTGTAGAAAGTCAATTCAAACGTTTTGAAGTCACTCCAGAGTCACCAAACGCTAATTTTAAATTAGGGTGATGACAACATCACTGCGTTGAAACATCTGCTGATTATTTTTACATGTCTATTAAGAGAAACTGGCTTGCTCAGGATGTTAAAAGACAAAGATGGCATCTAGCAAGAGTTTTTCGTATATGTGCATTTTTAAACTTATTTAAGTGTTCAAAATGAATGGAAATAACGTATTACTATAAGCCATTCAGTAAAAAAGCTGTGATGAGCAGGTTGATGAGCATCCTTTTTGCTTTTGGCCGGTGGTCCTTTTTTGGTGGTCCTCCCTCACATTACCATTTCTGTCACCTTTTCTTGGCTTTCTTGTTGTAGCCGTGAGTTTAACATGGAGACAGGTGTTTCTACGTAAACGGGTGTTTCTGTTATCTTGCGAAAAGCTATTTCAATGACCTCACCTTATAAAAATCGATTCCGCATAGGAATTTCTTGGAAATTAACCTTATTCAGTAATTTCAACCCCTTTGAAATTCTCGTTTTTGGTTGAACTCCACGTCGAATTCCCGATCAAGAAAATATTTCTTAAATCTTAATTTAGCATGTTCAACGCCTCTTCTTTAGAGGCGACCAAAGATGTAAACAACAAGTACTTCGCTTTGAATTTATAATTAGGTAACTTATACGAACAGCCGTTAGCTCTTTTAGAGGCGGTATCTTGGGTACGCCCTTTCTTCTCTGAATTTTCTGTTTATTCTGTTGTTATACAACAGTCTTCAAAAGCTTTTTCCTCCTAAGATATCTTGCTCAGATCTGAGCTAGTTCCAAGGTAGAAAGTTGTGTAAGAAAGAGGAATAAAGATAGGTCAGCTTTACACTAAAAGAGTGTTAGAAAGTTCTTATAACAAAGATAACTAGATGTCATTACCTTCATGTACTACTACTACGATTGCTGATCGCAAAACATTAGACTCCCTGTGCTCGTTTTTGAGTTAAGAAACTTAGAAGTCAAGGGTGTTTCAAAAAGACAGTGGCGTCGGTATAGTGTCCTTATATGCAGTGAAATGATTACCGCACCATTTTCTAAAGAGCACACGAAAAAGCTGTAGTACACAGCGGTTAAAATGGAATCGGTTTTATTCACGTACCTAAGAGAACTAACAAAATAATTAAACACACGCTGTATATATATGCAGGTCTCGAGGGTATTACATCACACCATCACGCATCACATTACATCGCGCATATTACATGCTCGTTGGCATCCTATACACTACAGAAGCGTCGAAGTAAACATCTGTCAAATGTCTCAGTGGTATGTTAAAAAAAAAAAAAAAAAAAGCATTTTGAACCGCCTTACTCGCAATAGCCAAAGTGTTAGAGATGAGGTTAGCACATAATAATAACGTCTTGTCGATAACCACACTGCAGTTCAAGCATAAAACTGAAGTTCAAAATTTTTGTCGGTGATATTCAATTGGTTATGGTGTAGTGACTTTTTGATCTACAAAAACATGGAAATTCACGAAATGCAGCCCCTTTTCAACATGAGCCACGAGCAAACATGTACAGTTTACATAATACATCACAGTGCAACCAGCCTTACTCTGGTTTAGCTCCACCAGTTGTAATCCGATGAAGACCATTACTTTTGGTCAGCGTTGGAAGCTTGAATCCGGTAAGTCCTGGGTCACCTGTGTAATTAGCAATAGTGCACTGGAGATCAGAAGAGTAGGTCTTAAAAAATTGCTAAAATATTTCTCATTTCATCCAAAGCTTTGTAATCGCTTATTTTAAAGGGGGCTAGCTGAGTTAGCACAAATTTTGTCCTTATGTTAAAGTTGTTCAGTCCATGCTTTCCGTTCCCTTCTCTCCATTCAAAGCCTCGTATAAAATTCCATTGATCCATAAAGAAGCATTATAAAAAAAAAGTTGTGAGGGAAAGTTGAAAGAAAAGAATCGCTAAGGGGAACGCAAATGACTTAGAACAGAAAAGACTGACACTGTGATTTGAATCGACGAACTTGATAAATTCAGTTTAAGCTAATTTTTTCAAAGATGCAGACGGCATTGCATAAGTAACTCATCGATGAATTAAAATTCGGACAAAAGGTGGCAATAGAATATCTCTAGATGTTCTTTCTCTAGATGCAAGTGAAATTTAATTGGTCTGAATTCGTTGGACGAGGGAAATTGGAGAATCCAATTTAATGGTCATGGGATCAAGGACGAAAACAACAACAATTTCAGCCCCTATGTGATGCAGGCCGGATGATGTAGCGCTCTCAGCACTGTTGAAGACGTCACGCATAAATACACGAGCATCCAGACCCAGGCTAAAGGCCAGGTTCACATGACCTGCACCGAAATACTTACTTTCGACGACGCCAGAAACACAAGGTTCCTCGTTACATGGTCTGACCTCCTCTCGATCGCTAACACAGTCTTCTCCATACCCCCGAGGAGAAGGATTTGAGCAAGTCCTTTTCCGATTCTGTCGTCCCTCACCACACTTCACGTCACATTCAGACCAGGAACCCCAGCGAGAAAATCCCCCGTCAACACCTGCAAGAGAAAAATATATGCTGTGGGCGAAGGGACTCAAGAACGTGGCCTCTATAACCATAAGTCGTTCAGTCATTTTTGAGAAGCTTGCCAGAGAGGAAAGCGTAGTTAAAACTCAAGGTTGCTGTTTTGAATTCGTTTTTCATGCAGCACCGGTGCTTAAAAAAAAAACCATCTTCAGCGTATACTTGAAAAATACGTTATTCAGTAGAACCTCTACGTCCAGTAAACGTTTCCCTCTCTTCCTTAATATTTCCGAGCAAAACGAATTAACTGTCACTTCCCCAAATTTGATAGATGATTGTAATTTTTGACAATGCTAAGATAATGGTTGGTTTTAAGACAAACCAGAGAAAAGAGTATCAACGTAGACGACGTTTTGAAGACGGGACGTGTGGAGAGGTGGACTTGGGTAATGACATCATTATGATACGATAAGTCCTCCGTTTACAAGTTAAGTCTGCGTCATAACACACACCACTGAATCAGGAGGTCAAAAAGCTATGGTATTGAAATCAGCGAGTTGTAAAACAGCGTTACGTTATCACTTACTGCACGTTTCGTTGAGCATTTTTGAGAACAAATCTGGCAAACCCTTGATGCTGGTAACAAGGTGTACATTCTCTTTATTTCCAGCAATACTGATCAGCTCATTCTCTCCTATTTCCTTTCCGATCCCCACAGCCACAAGGTGAACTTTCTTTTCCTGAAAGAGAAGCGTTGACATTACCTTAATAAGAACCGTGTGAAACTCAAACGAAGGATGGGAGCCGAGGGAAGGAAACGCCAACTTTAGAAGCTTCTGTGATTTTTCATGTCTTCAACTTGAAGACTTTTTTCTGCGTGTAATTTGGATGATTGCACTGGATCTACGATTCATGGTTAGATGAAGCTCAAAGGACTTGGTTCTTTGACGTTAAATTGTTCTAAAATAATTATATATAGTTCACGAGCATTAAAAGAGCTGATGATTTGTAATATGAAGAGTGACTGGTCTGGTTTGAAAAGAATGACTGGTCTGGTTTGAACTGAATGTTTAAGCGTCTTGCTTGAACTTAATCAAAATGTAAAAAAAAAACTGAGAAAAACAAATTCCCTCAAACTGCATGCTCTGAGCAAAACAAAACGTGCAGGATTATTTTCAATCAATATTTTCAATTATTTTTTATCAAAACTAACACGAAATGCAGTTAAACACCGCTTTCTCGAATTCATGTCTTGACTATGGAGATGAAAAACACTCCTGATCTAGCAGAGCTTCTGATATTTTTCTCGACTGCATTTCTCGTCAGTTTCGGCTTATCACCGTGAAAAGCCTTCACAGAAAATTTCTCTCGTGTATGAACATTTCATGATCATATCCCCCTTTACACCTCCCATTTGCGGTGTTCAATTGTATTCTGTTTGTAGTCCTGATAAACTGGTAAAAGTGGATTCACTCAAATCCCCTTTCGATGTTGAATATTCCAAACATTTATCACTGCGATTCCAAGGTATACTGGCTGAACATACTAACCTTTAAAAGCGGAAATATCTCGGAGAAATTTGTGGAGTTTTCATTTGTCTTTCCATCCGTCATTAGAACCAGAACATTGGGGAAACCAGGCCTGTCCCCACCCTCCTCGGTAAACAGTTTTTCATTGGCAGCCATTAGAGCTCGGTCGATAAAAGTCCTGTCCCCAAGCGACACTGATATATTACTAATAAGACGGTACAAGGCTTCGTTGCTGTGGTAATCAATATCCTTAAACGTGTTTAGCACCGTGGGTCTTTTGGCAAACAAAATGATTGCAGTATGTGTAGCGTTAGGTCCAACATCTAAGGTATCGACGATCTCCAAGAGAAAGCCCCTCAGTAGTCTAAAACTCTCTATCCCAAGACTTTGAGTGCGGTCGACCAGAAACGCAACATCAAGAACTCGTGACTCACAAGGTGTTGGTGCTATGGATTATTCAGAAATAAAAACTTTTTGGCGTGAAGTAAAGTAAAGAACATCAACTTTGATTGTCAACCGTTAAACAGAATTTCTCCTTACAATATCAATAAAGTTTCAAGCAGTCGAATGATGAGAAAACATCAATTAGGAGATTATTAGTTGATCCAGTACCAAAATCTCCGAGCTAACACAATAAGACTTGTATGCAAGACAGTAAGAAGAATTGCTTAGAAGATATTTTGGGAGCAAAAGGGAGTGAAAGGGTTAAAGTGGAGTGAGTAACCGTACTTGATATACTGATTTGTCATTTGCACGAGCGTTCTGTGATACATGATTCAAATTGTCTCGTATTTTCAAACTGTGAACGTATAGTAAGCTTTTATCACCATTCATAGCTTGGATAGATCCCTACATGTGGCCGTATATAGCTCTCCGTTGTCCTACAAAAAAACCATTGATAGTGCTAGCCTTCTGTAACTCTATCTAATCATTTCAAAATCATACATATCAAAATCCATGGTATTATCTACACGCAATTGATGTTTAGAAGTTAAGGTGTTCAACTAAGTTAATATCTTGATGATCAACTCACTGGGCACGACAGGTACCAAATATTACTTATTAAGTCCTTCTGTCACCCGATGTATAGGAAGATAAGGGAGATTTTCCGAGAACAAAATGAAGGAAAAACAAATCTTCAAAGACAACATGGAAATTGTATCTTGCTCTGATAACTTTGAAAAAGGAACTCGAATTTATTACTCACGGAAAATAAACCTTTTGATGTCTTCTGTGACGGTGACGAGGTCTCTATAATCATCTTTATAGATAACATTGTTTCCTCCGATGCTGTGTAAAACAGCTTTGTACCTATCAATAGTGGAAAATTTGTCAACTGCAACAACAATTATACGCACTCCTTTTTCCTGAAAATGAAAGAAGCACAGCTATTTTACCAATCAGGTTCCTGCAGGCAAACATAGTTAATGATTCAAGTGTACTTTATTTTGTTTTCTTTTGTTTTGTTTTTTTTCCAGAGAAAATATCGTTTACTGAAAGGCGAATTAGAAACCACTGTGTATTTCAACTGATATTTGGGTCTCGAGGGACATGGAAATAAAGTGGACTCATAATATAATGTTAAAACAAATAATAATACCCTTACCAGCCGCTAAAAACCCAAAGTAAAAAACTTGCCGAAGGCGCGGAGAATTGCACGTGACCGAGTCGCGATTGATTGTAGTTTTGAATCTGATTGGTTGAGAGTGTGGCACAAGATTAATTATATAAACCAATCATAGAGCGCATTGAAGCAAAACCAACTCAGTTCTCAGCTAACTGTCGACATGCCCTCAGTTGACATATTGTGTGGGAATACGCTGCCTGATAGCAGCAAGGCTGAGCTGAGCCAAACAATGAAAAGGAAACCTATGCCTGTATTCAAAGGCGGAGGAAGAACTGCAACACCTGACTTAAAACCGCAGGAGACGAAAAAGTACAGTAATGTAAACTGTAACTCTTCGAAATTTTGTCGAGGAACTAAGGGGTAGCTGGATGTGATGCGCTTTCTTTGTCGCTGATTTTCCAGCGTCACTTAATATCAGGTTACTTTTGAATTTCAACGTTTTCCTTTTTCATTAAAACCATCATCCCTCTCCTTTTAATACATTCTAAAATCCCCATCAATCCTCGCGCCTCGTAAGTTTTTTGCGCTGTTTTGATGAGAATAACGAAGCATTTTTGGGATCACGATGAAAACATGGACGGAACTCGAAAATAAATAGACATCATAACTTTTCGTGTGTCCCCCAAACGCCCTCCTTCCAATTTCCCTCACCTTTAAAGAATTTACCGCTGACTCGAAATCTTTGGTTCGCGGATGCGACTTTCCGTCAGTAAACAGTACCATCACGCTTTGCACGCCTGCACGGTCACCATTCTCTTCGGTAAACATCTTTTGATCAGCGATGAAAAGCGCTCGATCGAGTCGGGTGGGCTTGGAGAGTTTCCCAATACTTTTTTGGATCAGTTTTGTCATGGCTTTAGTGTAATGGAAATTTTCGTCTTTGAAGGTGTTTAGTAAGTTGCTGTCGTTGGCGAATGTCTCGAGAGAGACGTGGGTACCATCCGCGGAGATTTCAAATGACTTAATCAGTTGTTTAAGGGATCTTCTAAGATACGGAACGTTTTTCCATCGTATACTTTTCGTTGTGTCGACCACCAGACCCAAGTCTAGGTGTTTACACTTCAATAAGTCCCGATCTAAAACAAAAGAAAAGTGGAGCGATAATTATTCTGCTCTTTTTTTTCTTTTCAGAGAGGGAATGAAGACTGATCGCTTGAGATCACTTTAAGCTTTTGACTCAGGGGTGTCTTTAGCAGTCTTGACTATGATTGCAGATCGACTAATGTAGAGCTGGATTGACAGACCCGAGCGGTCCTTCTGTCTGTCCGAAAAAAGTGTCTGTCTGCTAGTCAGTATAACAGTCTGACAGTTTGTCGTCTGACAGTTTGACGGTCTGACGGTCTGACGGTCTGACGGTCTGACTAAAGTAACCTAAGGAGTTACTAAGTTCGTGGGTGGGTGAGATTAATGAATGTTAAGAGGAGCTTGATGGTCAAAACCGTGATAAAAATGCGGGAGCCCCATATAACGAAACACGGGTAAGCTGTAGAGTTGTTGTTGTTGTTTATTTATTTTCCCATTATGGCTTAAACTCTCTCTTCCTATCGTGATATGAAAGTTCCTTACCAGAGGCATCATTGAATGGTACAATGGCTGCCAAAAGTGCCAAAAGCCACACCAAAGACATCTTGCAGAGCACACCTATGAAAACATTTATACGATTTGAGGCATTCTGAAATAATCCTCTTCTGCAGAACGTAAGAACCTCGTGTCCGCGTACTTCTGTGGGACTGACGATTCTCGGGAACACTAGTACTATTGTGCAGGAATTCGAAGATCAAATTTCCGCGTGTATTTTATTTTATTTACTTTTTTTTTTTTGGGTATTCAACTTAATGGGGAAAATCAGAGATTCCCTGGCATTGTTGTCGAGAGTGTTTTACCAAAAGGTTTTGCTCAGAAGCAAATGGCACCGGAAAAGAGAAAAATTGAAGGGGTACCTAACTTATATAAAAAACTCTCTAGAAGTTCTAGTCGGCACTTGAAAATTCAGCTGTCTTTTTTAATTGGCGAAAGTTTCTGAGGTTGTAGCACGATTTTTTCAGTTGGGCCCTACAACGGATGCGCCGAAATATTTCCTTTGCATCAAGGATTGTTTTGTACCTCGCCAACTACTCCCTAGTCCCGGGAGAATATCGTCTGTTCATATTCTCTTGCTAACGCCAATGGCCATTTCTTATTCCTTTTTTATGTGTGTCTGCCAAGCACACGTGATGTAAAGGACCAGGCGTGAGAAAATACTGTTAATAACATTGGGACTCGCAAACGTTAACCGTGGGCAAACATTCTCCAGCTCCTGCAGTTTTCTCAAAAGATAATGTTGTGATCGATTATTATGAGCTATGGTGCACATTGCGTCATTGATAAGCCCGAAAACAAAGGAGAATTAGAAAGAATGGTTTACGTGCGGTTTAACAATAGCTCAAGATTGGCACTTTGTAAACTGGCTGGTTTCGTGTGTGGTTTTTCATGGCCAAAACGAGTGAGTCAAGAGCAATCAGGTTTCATTTTTTAGCTTTGACTAGACAAAAACTAAATTATTAAAATTCAAAACCTGCCATACAATGCCTTATAACTATCGCGAACACCTTAGCTTCAAGTAGATGACGCACAGCTTATTAAATTATATTATCTTCTCATCATCAGAAGCAATTAACGGAAAAGGAAACTGGTGCTTTTTCTGTCGACTTTTTTTATTTCATAGTTTCGAGGGGCTATGCGGAATTTTTCTCTTGAATGAAAAAGCGTGCTAGGATTTAGTTACTCCAAATGGCAATGGTCTTAATGCAAACAGCTCAGTCTAATGAGTTCATTTCGTCACATAATTAAATTGGACGAATAGGGTGTATTTTCTCGTCGACAGAAAAAAATTTGTTTTTAATTTTATAACTAGCTATAAAACTGATCGACGTGTAGATCGACTGTCGCGTTCAGTCACTGTTCGGCTGTGAACTTTTCACAACAATTGCATGAAGTCGGTTGCGTCAATTGTTGTTTTCGACAGGAAAATTTGTCCCATTTGTGCGGTAGATCGATGGTGTAGAACAAAAGCATCCTGATGAACAATAATATTGACACCTATAGATAAGTATGAACCAATTTGAAGTATGTACATGGTCGTCTTTAAAATACTGTTGTGTTTACCCCGAAACACGTTAAACTGTTTACCAAACAACGATTATTTTCCAGAGCTATAGGAAATAACAACCGTGCAACCAAGCATTTTTTTTTTTTTAGAGAAGGAGAGCGAAACAGTATTTGCGAAGGGCTTAGCAATCGGGAAAACTGGCCGACGACCAGTGCAGAAATTGTACCTAGTGAGTTTTCAGGACAATATTCAAGAAGCAAAATATCATACAACTCACAAATTTCTCTTACCAAACAGCAAAGCTGTAAAATACTTACCAATATTACGCCAAAGGGTGACCCTGCTCAAGGGATGACACACGAAAAATCTATGCAAAGCGTTGACAACGATTACTTTACACATGTGCTGGTACCTTTAACAATACGTCACTCACTCATTGGCCAATAACCTTTGCAGAGAATCTTTGAATGACACCCTGTACAAACTGTCACTTTTTCACGCATGGTTTCGCATGATTATAGACTAAATTGGAAAACGGAAAAACCTGTTGAGCATTCACAAATGATATTGGCATCCACTTTCAACTGTACAGAAGTAAAAATTAAGAGAGTTTGCAGGAGAACTGAGATCACTGACAGCATTGTCTGTTCGTCATAGTTAAGCCAT